TCGTACAACGAAGTCTAAATCGTGATCACTGCAGTGGCAACACATGCCACGGGACGAAATGAAGAGCATTCGTAACCTTCGACGCTATATACTTTCTGGTAATAAACAAAGCACCAGCTCGCTGTGTGTGTGTCAAATTTTGTTGCGTCATTGCACGGACCATAAGCAACCATTGTGCTGCATGGTTTGAGCATCTTTAATTAGCGCGAAAAATTACTAAAATTTGAAAGGAGTCATGTGACTACAGCAATTCATGCGTAGGCAATATGGTTTTCCACAGCTCACTGTTTCATTCGACCAACCGAGGGCCATTAGATGCCCTGCGCCACCAGCACGTACAGCTATGTTACATCCGGAGGTAAAACATTCATCGGAATGCAGACTGCTGCTGCCCTGTGAACCCCACCAAGAACAAAAATTGTCATTTGGATATCCGGTATTTTTCATAAATATTGGTTTTGCTCACGCCAGTACTCAAGTAAATATTTCACAGGCGCGCGCATTCTTGTCGTGAATACGCCGTGTAACTGTTCTCAAAGATATGCATCACGTACAATGTTTTCTCGTATCTCAAAAAGGTGATTGATTGTCTGGCACGGAATTGGCATAAGTTTGGTTACCTGTTTATATTTCCATCCGCAGGACATTTAAGTGTAAAGCGTAACTTTAAGTTCAATGAACGATGTTTTTCTTGCAACACCAAAACGGAACTACTTATTGCACATCGCGTTTTTGTAACTGCATCGATTTGGCTCCATATATGTGCACCGGCAAATTACTTCACATCGGCCCTGCCCTCATCGTTTGCGCTGGTTCGATCACGGCATTTACATCTGCACTTGTTGTTGCCTTACAAGATATCTATATATCAAGATATGTGTAAGATATGCAGATGTCTTAAACATATCTGCTCAATGACGCTGGATCCTACGGTAGGTATTGCTCAATGTAAAGTGCACATTTATTTTTGACTTTTTGCCAAGAGCTATCCGCAGTGCTAAAATAAGAATACCGGCCCAAAGGAGATGACTCCCCCCCCCCCTCCCCCACCGGCCTGCGCTGACGTTGGCTCATCTCCAGGATTTAACAAGGAGATACTCAGACGATGTGGCCAGGGGTGCAGGGAGTCACGACAAGAGGAGGGTACGCCAGATAACAAAGGACCCCCACCGGCGCAAAAGCAGCAGATGCGTGATCGAGCGCGCGCTTAGAAACTTACGTGCATGCGCGGGTCGCATGTTGAGTGCTCTGCCGGTCCAAGCCTGCCATAGTGAGCGCACTCTGTGCCGGCTGCCAGGAGCCCGGTCATGACCCGCGCGGCGCGCGGCGCGGCCCGGCCGGCCTCTTGCAGGTGTGGCGCGGCTACTTCAAGCCGCTGTCGTATCGCGACGGCTTTTCGATCCTGCTGTGCCTGCTGCGAACCGTACAGGCCGCGGTCGCCTGCGGCTCCGCTCCGCCCGGCCGTTCGACAAGCCGCACATCGTCACCAATTCCCTGCAGGACCCGCGAGACGTCCGCACGCTGGTGGAAGGTGGCGCTCGCGAGAGCCGGGGGGTAGCGGGTGGGGTGGGGAGGAAAGGGTGTGCTCCCAGCCCACCGCATGATTTCCGTCTGTGCTGCCTCCTCTTCGTAGAGATACTGAATATGTGTAGTTGCGTTGCCGCAGAACTACCGTTTGCGCGTAGAGTTGGCTTAGATAGTCATACTGGAGCTAGAATTGTTTATGAATCGTGTCTTTTTAGAGCAGCGTTAACCTGCAGATTTAGCGCCGTAGAGCTTCTGTTACACGCAGTCTCGTCTCTGGATCAATATTATCTGCACATGAACGTGTTGCAGATGCATGCACATTAGGGTGTTTCAGAATAACGCGTCTTTGAAAAAGAACGGGCGCTCAGGGTCAGTCAGCTTTCTCCTGTTCAAGGCGAGTTCATGTGGTGTCATTTTTTAAAATATGCTTGGGGGTGCACAAAAGGTTAAAGTAGGTAGGTTCAAACCATTTTCACTCTGAGCGAAGCTACCATGACGTTATAAAAACATCGACTTGAAAGTTGAAACGGAGCCCTTAGCGTTCTCTTACCAAGCTGATTCGACATTTTTAAACCATAGCATTTAGCTACTGATGCGCTGAGCGGAAAGAAATTCAAATAAAAGGGTGGGGGCAGCGATGGTTTAAAAATGAAAACATTTGGAACTACTTGGAAATGGGTATAAAAACGAATCATTGTGTCGAGAGTGGCTCGATGATGCGTTTGCAATGTGGATATAAATGAGATGAAGTTTATTTGATCCTTCTCTAACACCATCTGACTTCACCTTGAGCTTTTTGTCCACTTTTCGACCTCGACCAAGAGACCAGAACTTCCCAAGCCATGGGCAATAAAACTATGTGTCGAACAGACCTTCGTCTTATACAGTTACTCCACCAAATAATTGTCCTGAACACACATCGTAAGTTCTTACGCATTGGAGCGTGTCCAGTGCACGCTTATTAAATTGCTGATTCTTCTGCTGGTCGGCTTCTTCCTCTGCAGACGTCACTGCAGCTGATCCTGTTCACCGTCTACAACCACCTGCGAAGATCTCAATCACTGCCACGCGACTGATGCAGAATCATTCACACACTGATGCCTACCCAAAAATCCTATTCACCTTAAGGTCAAGTAACAAAATTCCTTAATGTCCTTCTCAAAGTCCGCCCCTGTGGCTCAGCTGGTTGGAGCGCCTGCCTTCCGATCCACCCACCCATGGCGCGCTGGGTTCGAGTCGCTTTAGAGCGCTCGCTATTTGCCCGTAACAGGTATGCCCGCGTCCGGTGACAGCGGTCGCGCTGAAGGTCAGTTGACGCCAGAGGGCAGGACGAACCGTGCCGAGCATTGCGGCACGTTAAGCTTTCACCACCAAATTCTGCCGTCGACATGAAATTACGCGTTGACGTGGTAGGGGTCAGAGCTCACGCAACAAGCACTACTTAGGCGTGAGCTCTGATCCCAGAAATTCATCCATTCAAAGGATTCGGATCAAATCTTTAAAAAATAAAAAAAAATGTTAGATGCAAGAACATCGAATCGGCCTGCTAGGAATGCGACGCCAAGGGCTTTGTTTAAAGCGTCTAAGCCGATGTCATCTCGATTTTGTAGCGCGTTGCTGGCCCCCACGGAGCGTAATTGGCGTAAATTTGCCACATTAAGATCTTTGCGCACCCCCTAGGTATGCATGCTTTGACTTTAATGGTCCTGCTGAACTCGCCTTGAACCGAAAAACCTATAGCAGCCCAGAGCACCAATACTTTTCCCAAATGTGTTACTCTGTGACACCGTAACCTGCATGTTGGTAAGGCGTTAATAACGCCTGTTATTATCGGTAACAACTCAGAGGAGCGAGAAGTCATGATTTGGTAGAGTTCAAACTACAGCCAGTGGTGACATCACGGGATCAGAGACACCTTCAACCGATTCTTTCCATCAGGACAACGATTTCAACATGTTTCCACATGACCTCCTTTACAGATGCTGCTTTGACGACCTGCCTTGACCTTGCCGCTTTGCCGCTTTGTTTTGAGATTGACAGACCAGCAGCGGCATGTCGGACTGCATGGCCCAGCATGCTCGCGCTTGACCTAGGGGCCATCGCCATCCACGACAGGCTCCCGAGTGGCCTGGACGTTCTCTCAGCGCCCCCCCCCCCCCCTCCAGCTTGACGGCGTGACTGACAGCGTGACTCAGGCGTGACGCCGTGACTCGGGCGTGACGGCGTGACTCGGGCAGCTGCCTGCGCCCGACAGTCCCGCGACCCACTCTCCGGCTGCGCCCGGCCCTGCGCTAACCAGGCTCTGTCTCCCGGCTTCTAGACGTGGCAGATGTTCAAGCCCATCCTATTCCGGGATACGGTGACGATCGTGCCCATGCTGCTGCGGCCCGCCTCCAAGGGCGTGGTGCAGCTGCGCTCCGCCAACCCGTACGACCCGCCGCTCCTCGTACCCAACTACCTCACGGAGGAGATTGACATTAGGACTATGGTGGAAGGTACTGGATGCTGCAGCGTTACCCTCGCTCGCTGTAACCGCGGTAGAAGGGCACGCCCAGACGTGGGAGTGCGAACACGGCTGGCGGTGAATTTGTATTAGGTAGATGCACGTGTGCAACGCAGGCATGTTTAGGTTTGGGAAATCTTTGAAAGGCGCGCCGTGACCCAACATAGCGTGGCTTATGCTGGTCCATGGCACGCCTGTCGACGGCGGCGGGCGGCGAATATCTTTGATGCGGTGAACTGCTTGGTAATTCCCATCGCAACGGTCACAGCTATTCAGATATTCCACAGTGATAAGCGGGGTGCGTGCGCCTCGTGTTCGCGCGTAAAAATTAGTAGCACTCTTTAGTACCGCGCATACATTGTAGCAAAAAGGAGTTTTGTGCAGGCATGACTGGGACTTTCAAATGCATAAAACATATGCATTTACCGCCGCGACCACGTTTCGTGAAAGACACATGCTATATAACGGCGATGCATGACTGAGTGATCTCAGTGTGAATCAGATTGCTCGTACCTATTCAGATGCCTTTTTGCCTTTGTCACTTTTGCATGTATACATCACAGTGCATCACATCTGCTACTTGCATGCATGTATCAAATGTAATAGTTTTGGACCACTATAACACCAGAGATCGTTTCGTCTGTGCGCTTGTTAACTCTTTTCTGAGCCTCTAGCTGATATCCCACCCGTCGTGTAGTATGGCTGTTAAAGAAAGCATACGTACGGTACCCTAGTCTTGAAAGATGTATACAATGTGTCAGGTTAATTAACGTAACAGGCTTGCTTATTATGTACAGTAAATCTGTAAGCGCAGTCCATAACCATTGCGTTCTGTGATTGAGTTGCAGTATTTCGTTATGAACCGGTGTGGCTGGGCATCAATCAAGCTTAACGACTTAGTGACGCGTCAATCGCAGTAGGTGAACAGCACCGGTCGTCCGTATACTGGCGAACGACTTGTGTCCCAAATCCGTGCGCGCAGCGCCACCTAACATAGGTGGCGCTGCCTGTGACGCCCGCCCGCGGCCGGGCGGCAGCGCAGATGTCGCCACTGACCGCCTCCCCCCGCGCCAGGCATCAAGATCGCAGTGGCGATCGGTGAGACGCAGGCGTTCAAGCGGCTAGGGGCCAAGTTCTACAAGGTGCCGATGCCGGGCTGCAAGCACACGCAGCTGTGGACTGACGAGTACTGGGAGTGCTTGGCGCGCTACTACACAAGCACCATCTACCACCCGGTGGGCACGGCCAAGATGGGGCCCTACTGGGACCCTGAGGCCGTAGTCGACCCTGAGCTCAGGTCAGTGCCCAGGTGCCAGTCGGTTTCGTTGGTGACAGGGGTTAGCCGCAGGTTGTGATGGGGGTGGGCGACACGGTTGGGACATCCCAGCTTGTATTGGTGACTGGACTGAACGACACAAATCTCGCTCCCCTCGCTCTCGCTCGGAAAGGTGGCAGACGGTAACTGTGTACCGCCAGCAGCACAGCCGGTGCCGGTATGAGAAAGACGGTCCACCACTCCGAGCTCACCGGGCGTCCTCCTGATCCGCAGGGTATACGGCATCTCCGGGCTGCGCGTGGTGGACGCGTCCATCATGCCGCAGGTGGTCAACGGCAACACCAACGCCCCGACCATCATGATCGGCGAGAAGGCGGCCGACCTCATCAAGCGCTTCTGGAGCGATCAACACTAGCAACGCGGCCCCGCTGCGGCGCACGCGCCACTGCGGCGGGACAGGGTGGCACCGCGCGCCCGGAGCGAGCGTCAGAGGGGGAGCTCGGTCTCCGCCGCGCGCGGCTCGGACACAGACCGTTGTTGCCGGTGGAGTGCGTGTCCGGCGGAGGCGGGCCTCGGGGGCTCTGCCTCGGACCACAGACGACGCCGTGGCACGCGTGTCGCAGCGGAGTTGCGGAGATGAGGCGTCTAGCGCGCGCCCTCGCCGGCGCCAGTCAGGGGTGCTGCGATACGGGTGTAGATGCTAGTGACGCGACTGCGCGGCGCTGCGCCGAGGGCGGCGGCGGTGTCCTCTGATCCCCTACCATGACGCAGTGCGCACCGTTCTGACGTGCGCGACCTCGCAGGTGCGTCTGACTCGCCCATCACATGTGCCATCCCCAGTGCTCAAAGTGAGGCCAGGCGCGCGTGGTCGCCGCCTGCTCCTCCGGCGGGGCTGGATGCGACGGCCACGCTCAAGGGTGGAGTCCGACGAGGGACGTCTGTGTCGCGGGCGGGTGCAAGGTGACGGTGCGGCGACGATGTACAAATCAAAATGGCCTGTCGCGCGGCGGTGGGCGGGCCTGGGGTGACGCCCCGCCCCGGGCCGCTGGGTCAGCCCCGCCCGCCGCCGACCGACCGCGGCCGCTTTTTGAAACCGCTTGCAGTAGCGCTGTAGTAATTTATTGGACTTCGGATGCATGCATATTCTATGTATTCTCGAATTACTTGTACGTAGTTTATGTGATAATGTGGTATGAGCATTATCGCTGGCATTGTTCTTTAGTATGGACACTGTCCACTGTTACCTAATTTACAGATTTGCTTGTGAGCTGTGCTTGATAGCCTAGTTCAAGAATGTGTCGGGAATGAACGTATGGCTGAGTATATAAATGAACGCTGCCTGACTGCAAAATCATGTGTTCGCTCAGTGTTACGGTGGTTGATATGGAATGCTTGCACACACTGCCGTTGATAATTTTGGTTAGGTGTGGTTCGGCTTCATACAATTTACCAAACACGACAAAAAGCGGGCAGAGGTTTGCATATTTCTCCCCATCGAGCTGAATGTGATCGCACACATCCATGGTCCAAAACACCCGTCGTCATGCGTGCCTGCTCGTTTCACTGGCCTATCTAGAATTCGTCCAGTCGTACATGCGACATGCGACCACGAGCGGACACGCGAGATCCTTGTAAGCATTTAGATGCTTCAAAGCATCCCCAGGGACCTCGTCGAGCAGACAAAAACTGGGTCGATCGACGGTTTACCTCACAAATAATTGAAGGGCTTATTGATTAATGCTGCAGGCACCTAGGGCTTTTCGTCCGACCTGCGGATGTTTTATAAATTTATCTTGTCAGGTCACTCAGCATTCTGGCGTCCCCCCTAATAGCCCTGACCTGGTCCTCTTCAGAGTGCCCCTGCAATAGCCAGAGGACATGATCCGAGCCTGAAGTAGCTCGGATTCGGCCCTGTTCAGAGTGCCCCTACAATAGCCAGGAGATGGGGCGTGATCCGAGTCTCTAATAGTCCGGATCTGGCCCTGTTCAGTGTGCTCCTATACTAACCAGATGACGGGACATAAACCGGGCCTGTAGTAATCCGGATCCAGTCCTGCTCAGCGCGCTCCTATACTAACCAGATGACGGGACATAAACCGGGCCTGTAGCAATCCGGATCCGGTCCTGCTCAGGGTGCTCCTATACTAACCAGACGACGGGACATAAACCGGGCCTGTAGTAATCCGGATCCGGTCCTGCTCAGGGTGCTCCTATACTAACCAGACGACGGACATCAAACCGGGCCTGTAGCAATCCGGATCTGGTCCTGCTCAGGTACTCCGATAAGCCAGAAGACGGATATGATCCGATCTCAGTCATTTTGTCCACCTTTGTCGTCCTAGAGCCTCACACATAAGATCCGTTGATTATTGGTAATCACTGAGCCAAACCCAGCATTGAATTTGAGTCAGAGTCCCGCTACTACAATCGAATCATGTGTGGCGAATCTTAGCTAGTTTGAGCTCCAGACGCCTGGGGCTTCCAAACCCTCTTGAATTCCCATACAGGAGGAACACAACGTTGGAGATAGGAAATGGTGAGCAGGTCTGGACAACACCCTGACTGGTACTTAAGGCTCAGTTTCTGACCTGATAATAACCACCGCATTCGTGAATTTAAAAGAAAACGGCAACTTTTAGGATGCATATGTGATTACCCACTGACTTGTTTCGTTGAGCGACAAAGCTGACTCTTTTAAAATACTTAAAAAAGACCTGCTGTGTTCTATGGACGATTAATGTTCGCATTATTTCTAGATGCATTTAATATGATTGATATAATTTCAGAACCGATCCGATTTCTTGCTGGCAGTATGCCTAACGGAGATCGGGTTTCATGTGCTGACTACCAGGTACGTATGTTACCATGGGAAACAAACTTCACCTATAAGTCCGATTTTTCGAACAGCAAGGTGGATGAATCGCTAACAACCTAGACGCAAACCGGTGGGAGAAAACTCGCCCGTCCCGCGACCAATCACAATTGCGATAAATTAATGACGATAGTATAGGCACGCGCCGAAACTGATGAAGCACTCCGTAGCAGTGAAATGAATGACACGGAAGCATCATTTGAGGCATTCAGATGTTTTCTAACCCACGATCTACTTACTAACACAAAGTCAGCGACTGTCCACCTTGAAATCTTACCATCTAAATATCCCCTCCGACTGGTGCGTTGCTACGCATTAGCAGGACGTTAGCAGGGCCTCAAATGCGCTACAAGCACCTTGTTTAGTATATCGGAGGTTCGTTCCCTCTCCAGATCCCACAATTTCTGTAACACTAGGCCCTACCCGGTAGGACGTAAAGACATGAAGACACCAGGGCAACAAAGAGCCTGAAGTGCCCATCGAGGTCGGCCTACCTGAGGCTCCGCGCCCATCCTCAAAACTAATCTTACCACTTGACCTGCCTGAATATAGCTAGAAATGAGATCCTTGGACCGAAAAAAAACCTGTCAAAACGATTTCTAAATGTTGCTTAAGACAAACTTCATAAAACTTTGTTTGGCAGTTCATTGCAATGATTGCTCTTTGAATATTCTACTCCTGCCTTTTGCTAAATGAAGCTGGTTTCCTCTAAGTCTCCTCTTAAAAGTACCTGGACCTTTAAGATCTCTCTTATGGATCTACGTTTTTGAATATCTCGAAAACCCTAGGCTTGTCGGGGATCTCTGAGCTGGCTCCAGCCTCCGAGCCATGGCAGAGGCGTATGACCCAGTTTTTTTGCGCGTTTGTGGGAGCAGCAGCCTGGTGGCTGATATGGAAACCTAGCTTTTTAAACTTCCCGCCAGGTGAATGCGGATCGCTGTGAAGCTCCCGGAGCATGCCCATGCATGACTGGAGTTACACATGAGAGAGAGGGAGAGAGAGAGAGAGAGAGAGAGAGAGAGAGAGAGAGAGAGAGAGAGAGAGAGAGAGAGAGAGAGAGAGAGAGAGAGAGAGAGAGAGAGAGAGAGAGAGAGAGAGAGAGAGAGAGAGAGAGAGAGAGAGAGAGAGAGAGAGAGAGAGAGAGAGAGAGAGACATATATATATATATACATGCATATACATATATGTTTGTATATATGTATGTATGCATGCATGCATGCATGTGTGGATTCAAAGCGGCTCAAACCTCAAGGCTGCTGGATTAAAGCGACTCGAGCCCACCGCGCGACGAGTGTAATAATAGGAAGACGCTCTCACGGAACGACTGCCCATACAGGCCGTCCGAACATCTTGCAATTGACAGCGTATTAACGCCTCTGTAGAGCTTGGACACTTGAGTGCTTGATAGCCCTAAAGAGCGCATAATGGTTTTAGATCAAGAGACGGCAATCTATCGACATGCTCAGGTGCCCTCACCCCCGCCAATATTCTCATAGCCATATGCTGCGGCTTTGTCAGCATTTAACTGTCTTATAACGCGGTCACCCTGCCTGTGTGCAATAAGTAATCTAAATAGGGCATGACGTATGCGCAGTACATTGCTAGCGACCTCTTTACCTTTTTAAGCGGCATTTAACACTATACCAACCACCAGCACCAACATTATAAATAAGCCATCTCCTCTTTTTATGTCAAGTCCCTATTTTAGTTTAGATTAGTTTAGTTTCAGGCCAGCCTCTTTTTTCAGCTTGTCAACACTAACTTGACAATCTTAGATCATCGCTTACTGCAGCGCCAAATCCTTTTTGCTCGATATGTTTCCTAATCTGTTTCCATTTACATTACACCAAACTTCTTATCACCTCTGTCTCGCCCCAGCCATATGCGGTTTCAGATGATTAACGGCCCTTGCCAAGCGCTTTCGGGCCTGTTTCGCAAGGCTGTAAAGATCCCATCAAGATCTGAATCTGTTCACCTACCGGTGGCACAACTTTTTGACTAACTTTATATTATCAGCAACGTTAAAAGGGTTAATTTTCATTTTTGAATCATTATGCATCTCATATAACAATTTGAAAGGTAAGGGACTTACACCCTGGACTAAAGAGGCTTACCATCGGCGGCATGATACCGGCGTTATTTGGCATCTTCAAAAATGCGTGCTATTTATTTTCCAACTATGCTTTTTGTTTGTGGAACTGCATCGCAGAGACAAGCTCTCCACATCGCATATTGATGTGATATGACCTATCGTGTCAGGCCGCGTCGAAATGTTGTTTCACACGCCCGGTTGGAAAATGTTGCCCGGGTGACCGTTTGAGTACCTTTCGCTTGGGTAGGAAGGGGGTCTATTTGAACCCCTGATATCTCAGAAAATTAGATAGCTAATCACAGGGTGCGTTAACCTATATATGAACTCCCATGTGTCAAAATTTCACATCCCTATGTCATGATTCTCCGGTCAACTAAGGCCAAACAAGATCAAACTCCAGATTAGTGTCCGAAGTGTCCCAGAACCTAGATACCCATTCTAAGCAAAAGGTCACTGGCGCTCATTTAATGGTCAGTGACCTTGTTTGACCTTTCGAAAATCATGGTGACAAGAATCATACAAGACTGCTTTAAGTTGTAGTTGAGTAAGCGTCACTAAGGCTGAATGCGCCACTGAGGCCGAATGTTTACCGAGCCTTAGAAACGTGTGACTGTCGCATATAGCAAAGAATCTACTAACACCAAAGCTTCCCTTTCTCATGATATGTATCGTGTTTATTCACATCGCCAGCTAAGGAATAGTAACAGTTTAGTGGGATGGACGTAGCGATAAGCTTTACACACTTCGGGCACCGTAAGTCAGCACAAAGGATTGAGAGGTACAAACTAAAAAGCTTTGGGAAACGGGGCTGACCTAGGTCCTTCATGGCTAACCGTGCTCCCTTCCCCCACAACCTCAAATACGTGCCGCCGCCCATGGCTACTACAGCATTGTCAGCATGGGAAGGGTGTTGATGATATGGTGGTTCAGCTACGCGTCCAGGAGATCAGACGCACGGGGTTCGATGCCCGAGGTGCCCACCCTTCCTGCCAGGGTGACAGACAGGACAGCGCCATTTAGTCTTAGCAGCTGATTGCGTCGTAGAGCCCCAATGACACACGCATCATAGGCTGGTGTACGGGTGATATTTCAGAGCGCTGTTCTCTCATACTCTGGGCACGATATCATGCCTGCGGTCAGTTCTTTCCATATTGGAGTAGACGTTATAAGAACTTCAACTTCCTTCCAGGAAAGATCCTATGCGTTACGCAGGCTGTTTACAGAGCCCAAAGTTGGCGGAGGAATCTAACCCACGCTTTCAGCCCGTCTCAGGTGAAACCGAATGCAAGAGTTTGCTGCGGAGCATTCTCGAAACGACTCTGTAACGATGCGCAGGAAAGGAATGATGCAGCGCAAAATCTACGCGCTGATTAAATGCATCGTTCAGCAGGCCACGCTGAGAATAGCAAATGGCAGCAGCCAGACTGAGCCGGATGGTTAGAGTGTGCCAAATGGACATCATCTCATTTGCCAGCAGACAACAGCGTGCGGTCGGGGCGAGCAATCAGAAACAAATGCAGAATTCACAGAAGAGAGACCAAAAATTGAATGCTGATTTGGCGTACCAGCTCAGCTCAGACCATAACGCTCAATGCTTAGGCGCGGTGATACCGGAGAGGAAGCAAACACCGTGGCGAACTCTTCAAAGGTAGCAGAAAGCAGAACCTTTATCAGAGTGATCCATGTTTTCAAGGGGTCGATTCATAGACTGTGGAGTGTAAGCTGAATGGTCCACTTTGCTCCCTGGATTGGACGATGCAAGCCACAAGCGTGCGTGCCACACAGCCACTCCATAGGACACTATAGTCTCCTGTCCAGGTGGACCCCGCGACGCCCACCAATGGATGCGCCTTCTCTGCTTCCTCCCATACGCGCGCCTCTGACCGCAACGCCCCACATTCGCATCCTATAACAAGGAGCAGCGATCAGCCATCTGTCTCGCAGCAGAGCCACCGTGGCTGACGCGATCATATCCTGGAGCCCACAGATCTCCGTCGGAGGGGCAGGACTGTGCCGCAGCCGTCAGTGGCGCTGGTCCCGGGCAACGGGCGCCGAACGGGTGCCCCCCCCCCCCCCCCCCCACTTCCATGCGAACGGTCCGGCTAACTGCGACAGCGACGAGTAAAGGGACGATCCCTGAATATAACTGGACTGGTCTCGTCAGGCTTTCGCTGTCGTCAGGCTGACTACCAGGATGGAGCTGGGGGTGGAGAAGGCAGTGGTGAGACATCGTGCTTAGAATCGAGATCAGTTGGTCCTGAAAGCGTTTAAATCAAAGATTGAGATGAAACTGGCGTTCCGTTTAACGGTGATTCCAAAACCTGCTACCCACGCACTCTATAGGGTATCATCAGGATGAGGAGCAATGGGCGGCCTGGTAAGCTAGTTTGTGTTTTTGTGGTTGCCTTTAGGACATAGCAGAGTCGGCCTAGTAATCGCAAGTAAAACGCCTACTGTTGTTAGCCATGGCTGCGAAGCATAATGCTTGGATAGTCAAATATATTGTGTCATTAAATTATTGATGCATCAAATATCTCCGGAACAACCGCCTGCAAAGCCAATCTTGGCCCGAATCTCATAAAAAACTGGTGTTGCATGCAGCTGATGCCACAAAATAAATCTAAAGCTAACCAACCACACGATGTGTGCAATATCAGAAACGAAAACTGCGTCAACCAGGGAGACGTTTTATCAGCTAATCATCTCAGCGCTCAGCTCTTCAAACCGTTTGGAAAAGACACACGAGAGACGGGGAAGTGGGGATGTGCATTTTGGAGTACATATAGACATTTAAGTCACGAGATCAAGTCGTTTCCCTTTCCAAAAAGGGCACAAGAGCTCTTGGTCTATGATCCGTGACATATCGAAATTGCGCTTAAGCCAAATACAGTTAGCTCACAGATTGTTAACTTGGGGGCGCTTAATAAACGTTAGACCACTGGACCTTAAAAGCTTTCAACTTTTCCCCCAAGACCTTCATTTTCTATCGCGACAGCTCTGAGTGAAATTCCAGCGACACGTGACAAGACTGCGTGACCATCGCTGTGACGAATCGCTCAGCGATCGACCACACAATCGCTCCTCGTGCCCTCGTCCTGTGGCAGCAGCCATGGGCAGCACCTGTTAGTCCGCGCTGAACGCTCCTGACGGTAAGCGAGACCAGCTAATATGCAGGCTCTGTGCAGACATCTCGAGAGCCCGTCTTTAGCATTCGTCCAATGCGTCAGCCATGAAGTGTTTTGAATTGGATTACCCATCGGGATTTGTTATTGGGACAGTTTTATTTCATTCTTTGTTTTAGCCATTGCGCGCGCTTATCGATTTCCCTTACCTTTTCTCCCATTGTGCCCTACGTGGCGACAATGATCCGTTGTGCTTATTTTTTTTGGCAAAATTCCCATTGAACTGCAGTTGTCCTCAGGTGGAGTGAGGGCAAGGTTCAGCAACTAGCTGTTGGCAGTTCATATTTATACAAAGCGCCCGTCCTGATAGCTCAGTTGGTTAAAGCGCCTGCGTTCTGATCCAGCCACTCGTGGCGGGGTGGGCTCGAGGCGCCTTAAGCACTTGCTGTTTGGTCCTGGCAAATGTGGTCTGAGGCCGGTGGCAGCGGCTGTGCTAAAAGTCAGGTGACGTCAGAGGGCATGACGAACCGTGCGGAGCATTGCGGCACGCCAAACAGTCACTCTGCAAAGATCCGGGTACTTTTAACTATTCATGATTTCTGCTTTACACTTGGCCTTAGACTATCACTCACAAGCAACGAAGGCTAACTTCATGCTCCATCCGTGCCAGATGACCTGCTGCAACCCAGCCGACGGCGTCGGCTGGGAACGGCCTGCCGGCTGCTCCTCTGCTCCTCCCCCGCCGTGTCCCGGGGCTGACCCGTGTGACCCCGTCGGCACCGAGGGGCCGCCCTTCGACGCCACCCACCCTGCGGCACTGTGTCCGGGGCCGCCGGGCGTGCCGTGTCCGCATGTGCCGGACACGGGCCCGGGCCCGGGTGTCGACCTGCCGCCGTGTCCGGCCCGCCCGGGCCTGCTCACAGCTCAGCAGATCGGACACCAGCGGAGGGGCGCGCGGGACATGGCCACCGACGCCGTCCGCGCCCGGCTCAAGTACGAAACGCTACCTGATCACCTGGAGGGTAAGCAGCGTCACTCATGACCGACGACCGCCTGTCGTCCCGCTTCATCCCCCGCGGCGGCCTGGCGGGCAGGCAACCAGCTTATAATGCACTTTAAGCGGGTTGCGAAATCGGTCCTCTCCCTTTCTGAAAATATACCCTCGATAAAATGACAAGGCTGATTGTTGTGCACCCTTGAGTACATTTTTCAGAGGTTTGTAGTATCAGTTTAAATGTGAAAGTCATCGAGCTACGTTGTAATAAATGCGGGTGGATACGTCGCGTGCAAGTCTTCGTCAGAGCAGACGAAATCAATATGCAACGCAATCTGTGTCAAGACGCGCAAGTCCTCATATTTCTTTGCAGGTAAATTTTATCAGCAATTTTATGAATGTGTAGCTGTGCTATACTCTCGAAAGCGAGGACATACTTAAGACAATGATGGAGAAGACACATGTTAGCTTATTTAAGCACACTTGGCCTTCCTTAACCAAGACAACATAGGCGTTAGACCATCAAAATCGCATAGCTTTTTGCAGGGCTTACCCACCCTAAGAGTTTAATATTTTGATCTTCTACAGTTTCGGAGTTGGAAGGCGGAAGGGCCTTCAATATCCCCCAAACCTTGGAAACTCATCAGAGACCTCTAGCAGACCTCAAGCTCATTTAGCAACCGTGCTAGTCTTGAAACTGACACCAACCGAAGAGTGTGTGATTGAGCTTTAGAAGCATACATGCTGTTACAAATGTCGAAGGTCAAGCTCAAATCAGTTCAGGTCAACATCAGCTCAGGTTAGGTCAAGTTCATGTCAGTTTTCCGACAATTTTTTCTTCTCTTCGCATTGACGGGACACAGGTATGCCAATCATTTTATTATACATCAATTACATCGGTTTATTGTAAAGTAAATTGCATAGTAAATTGTTTTGCTTTAACTCTCAGAAGCAAGCCGCACTTGTACCCTCATGGTAACTGGTGTCACATGGTGTAGTGTTACAGGCACCGACTGGTATTTAGATGCACTACTCGATGGATTAAATTAAAGCAACCAAAATCAAGAAATGCAACTGAAAGAATGGAACGTTTTCCATCTTTAATGTGCAACCTATCGCTTCTTAGATACTGACAACTTACTGCATCCATCTTGCGCGGTTCGAAAGTAATTCTCCAGTCTCAAGCGGGATCACATTTAGCTTCCGACGGCCACGGCACGCGAGCAGTCAGCTGCTGCAGACTTCGACGTCGGGTGCTGTGAAGCCTGGATCGCACTGAGCTGATGGCATCCCAAGAAGCCACGTCCATTCCGAGCAACATGACTTGGCACTTACGTGTGCTATAAGCCCTGCGCACTGTCAAAACAGCACTTACCTGCTGGCACATATGAGGGTTTGGCTTTGCACAAGTTGCGTTGCCGCGGTTCACGTAGAGTTATGTGCTTGAAGTGGCAAAATGTGCTGAGTTTTTCCTTAAGTGACTGCATTGGTCTGCGATCTAAACTGTTCTAGCAACGCCTCAATGTTGCGTGTCTGTGAAGTGCTGCGAAACTCAATGACTGTAAGTTCAGAAAGAAAGCATAATTATTTTGGTACAAATGATGGAATATCAGACTTATCACACACAAAATTGAGACAGTTCACCTGCATTTAGACATGCGAGCCTTTGCATAACTTAAGCCAGGATCACAACCCCCTTCCATGCAGCATCGCACCAGCAAAGCGTCGTCATCCTCGTAGCAGCCTGTCAGTAATGCACGATCACACTGCCCTTCCAGACCTGGCCTTCTCCGAGATCTTACAGAGCGACCGCTTCAAGTCGACCGCAACCGTCTCCTACACGAGCAAGTCACGTGACCGCTGCCTGAACCCGGAGCCGATCTTCAGCCTGGCCCCGCCCAGCGGTGACGTCACTTACCTGAAGGAGACGGAGGAGCGGGTGCGCCAGTCCACGCTGCCCGCCTCCCGGCCTCGCTTCTCCGAGTACGGCGAGGCCTACCACCCGCGGCGGCTCTCCTGCGCCGACATGGTCGGCCAGGTGAAGCTCAAGAAGCCCATCCGCTACATGCCGTCGACGGACGTGCTGCCGAAGCACTTCTACACGGCCGAGGACGGCGTTGCCGGTGAGGTGAACCCCTACCTCTCCACCACGCGCAAGGACTTCAAGCCCGTGAGCGCGGCGGCGGCCAAGTACCGCGACCCGCCGTCCACGGACACCTTCACGGGCGACCTGATCTTGCCGGCCGAGGCGCAGCTACAGCCGCGCTGGCACGGCTTCACGCCGGTGGTGCCGCACACGGGCCTCCAGAGCGAGGCGCAGGCGCGCTTCTGCCGGCCGCGGCTCGACGACAACAGCCGCCACAACTGGACGCTGCCGGTCGAGGCGCCGCTCGTCATCCCGCCCACGACGCGCCAGCTGTTCGGCGAGGCGCTCTTCGACCAGGAGTCGATCAACTACGGCACGGGCCGCCACAACCCGGTGGCGCTCAGCTGCCGGGGGCTGGTGACGCAGCAGCGACACCGGCGCGAGCTGTGCAACCTCCAGTACGAGGAGCCGCAGCCGAGCCGCCCGCCGTGCTGCCGCACCGGCCCGCTCGCCACCCGCGGCCCGGTGGACGACGCCGAGCTGCGCGCTGCGCCCATCTCGCTGCACGAGACCATCGGCGACAACCACTTCGGCCTGACGCCGCACCCGCCCCAGAAGGTCGTGCCCGATGTCAACTGAGCGCCGCCCACACACGGCAGTGGGTAGTGTCTGGAGGGAACGAGGCCCTCGGCTCACGCTGGCGATAAATACACGGGGCTTAATCGGGGCATGTTTTATGGCACCCAGCTTAAACCTGCCAAAAATAAACGTGGTATTCATATGCTCCAGCAAAACGGCCCCCGGTTCTGGTAAATGGGATAAAGCTGACAGATGACGTGCCTCGAGCTTGATGGCAGACTGGCTCGCTGACGTTATATTTAGATTCTTACGCCCGTGCATCACATCACCCATGTTAAAGCGCTCATGCAGCTGTTGGAATAACGGCCTGGCCCGGCCCTGAAAATGGCCCCCGGCGTGAATGATGAGCTAGTTTCCTGAGCTGGAACGAACCTAAATTCGTTGCACGTATCGCAGCACTGCCCGAAAACCTGAAGCATGCTCAACCCCCCTGCTGCCTAGCCCTTTCAGGTCAATCTACCCCAAAGGATGGATCGGTTATGATTTCTCGAGCTCAATAACACAACTCGGTTGAATTAAGTCCTGTACATTCTTACTTCTCTTGGAAGACAGAACCTCGTATTCTTACACCTGTTATGTATATCTTAGTATCACATAAACGTCCGAAGGCTCACATCTGTTCATATCTGAAGTGGTTTGCGCAGCAATTAGATTCGGGCAACGCAAATCAAAATACGAAATGAAGCTCTCAAATTCTTTCTCGTGCCGGAATACCACACGTCTTTGGAAACACTAATCTTGTGTTTGGCTGTTACAGCAGATATTTACCTTCTAGAATGCATGACAGCGTATACGGCAATATCACCTCCCAGTCAGCGTCGGCCTTCTGGCGCTGCGTGGGCAGTTATCATTTTTTGACCAACGACATGCTTTGGCTACGTCACAACTTCCCACCGAGTCCCTCGTACTTCCTCCTCGGGAACCCTCATCCCCCGGCTGAGAACGTCTGCTCGATATAAGAGGTTTACAGCATTGTGGAGCATTGTCGATTTTGAAATTCTCCTAAAGCTAGACATGTTAGGTCTTTCGGGTGAAACAACTTAAAGTAGCATGGCCGTTCGTCAAGTCCCAATTTCAGCAACAGACAACAACGGCAGCAGACTGCCGTCTTGTTGCGATGAGTTCGCGCGTCGTTTCCGACACAGAACTGAAGTTTGAACCTTCAGCATGCCCAGCTTTCATGTTGGTGTCTTATCAGCGTCGGCTAAAAGTAGCCGGAACCTCGGGGAGCACTATGAGATCACTACCTCACCATCACACACCATCTGCTGTTCTCAGCGATTCATCGGCAGAGGGGTGCTGGAGTCAAGGCAGATGCTGTGACGTGCTGGTGTCCTCACACGGGGGTGCTGAGGTTAGCATGCAGTCTGCAGCCACTTGCCAGTGGTGGGACGTGACGGTGATTTTCTCCGTGGTTGCGCTACACACGCAAGCGTCCTGAAAACGCCAGCCGAGGATGCACAGACCGTAGTCTGACGAGCACAAACTGGTGAGACTGACGCTGTCCGCCACGTGACCCGACTCCGCGACGTCTCTGCTACGCCCGTCTGCCCTGGGAGCGGACGTGAGCGCTGGGCCAAACTTCAGCCTCGGCCATCGCAGACGGCTGTGAAGAAGGCAACTCATCCACCACACGCTCACGTGTACGTGACAGGTCGGCGGCGCCGGGCCGTCCTGCCCCCTCGCCCCCCCCCCCCCCGCGGTTCGCGGTTAAGGCGACCACACGTCAGACGAGCCCCTCAGGGCCTAGCCGGACCGTCTGGTCTGTAGCAGTGTCGGTCCGCGCGCTGCGCAGGCAGCGGCCGAGAAACGTCGTCTGGGGCGCGATAATGAAACTTTCCACGGACAGTTTCTGAGACCGTGCTTTAAACTTGGTGCTAATTGCTTAGCTTAGTGGGCCCCGAGCTTTAGAAGGTACGCTGTGGGGACTTGTGAGTGGTTAATTTAAGCCTAATTTGTCGGTTACGAGTTTATCAAGTTCTTAATTAGTACCAGGAACGTGGATGTTTCATTACAGCAATCCCAACGCCTCTCGGAAAATGCTACCTGTCAAGTTGCTAGGAAATAATTTCTGTCCCACATATTCAGATGCAAATATCAGATGTTCCTTATAATGTACGCAGCAATGCTTGCAAAATATGCACACTGCAATAATTTCGACCAGTAAATAACATCATTAAGGTTGCGTTAGACTATATTACTGCTGCAACAGCATTGGACCATATGGCAACAACGAAGCCATCAAAGCCTCTTCAAAGAGTGCAACCGCACCGAAGAACACTCTCGTAGCAAGGTCAAGTATTATAGATGCACTAGACCTTGATTTTCAAGGCTATTTCAGCCGACGGCGTAAGCAAACCTCCGAGTCCTCGCGGCGTAAATGCCGCAGCATGATTCTGCCGTCGTTATCACCCAAACCGACGCATGCTACCCGGGCGTCACTTGGGACACCACTAATCTTATTTGAAGTGGTGCTCAAGTAGCCACGCGAAGCGGATCATAGCTGGAAACCACATATCGTCACGATCAGCTCGATCAGCGATAAACACAATCTCAATGTACTACGCTGTGAAACCATGAGCGTTACAGCCTTTCGGGCAATGACATACACGTAATTCCGATGAACTATAGTTGATCCCAATACAACTTTCCTTCTTCAGCACGATTGTCTGGTCTTAAGATGCCACTTGATGAATCCGTCCCCGTCCAACAGCGGCAGTTGAAAGCCTTGTTTTCCCCTAGTTTAATCCTTTCATCTGTCTACAAACGGTGGCCGGAAAGCTCTTGGATCCCGTTCGATCCGTGCACTGTTGAGTAGGGATTTTGTCCTGATCCTCGGCCACCGGACGGGCCAAACACGGTCCCAAACAGAGATCATCGGATCTACGAGTGAAGGACCGTAGAACAGCTCGGTGGCAGCGGCCTGGCCGGCCCTCTCCGTCCGCAATAGACTTCCTGTCAATAGCATAAGATAGCTATATGATGACTTTGAAAACCAGGGCAGTTTGCGTCATGGCCTAATTCTTCAGGCAATTTGATCTTGAAAAATATAAAGCTATAGAGCACTGAATTTCACCGCTCAGTGGACTCATCGGTAACTGTGATGCTGAAACGTCACCATCATATATAGGCTGGATCTGTGGCAGGATAGTGCAGACAAACAGAGCAGATGTTACACAACTCACAGACCGATGCTGATGCTTAAACTGGTGCTCTAGAGAAGTATACGTCTTTGCTTATGTGTGCAAACACATCAAAAATTTAAGTGTGTCAACAGTGATATGCTTGTGGATAAGCTCTGTTTCGTGCTGGCGTTGCCTGGGCGCGTTGTGGCACGAAGTGTTGGATGTTTCTAAATTAGTCCGCCGATGCACTGCAGACTTAGATATCTCTGTATCTGGTGCTGGTGACCGTTTACATATGTCATACTTAGTCTTAGCATGCACTCGGTTGGGGTTCAATTTGGCACCCTGAGATCTCAGAAACTTAGATAGCTAGGCACCAAATTCACGGGGTGTGTTCGCCTATATGTGAACTTGTTCAGTTGCTCTGAGGTTGTAGGTCATGACGTTTGGGTTAAGTGAGTTCAAAAAGCTTAAAATGCAGCTCAATAGGCTTCCAAAGTGCCCCTAGACCTTCTCATGCAACCACCAAACACCTAGATACCTCTTCTAAGCAAAAGGTCACTGATACTCATTTCAGGTCAGTGACCCTGGTTAACCTTTTGAAGATCATGGTGACCAAAATCATAAAACTGCTTCAAATCTGCATTTGATAAAAAACGTCAAGGATTACCCTAAGCAGTACGTTCCTGAAAGCAGAAGGCTGACCTTGGTCGTTTTAGGTCAGCGACCCATTCTGACTTTTAAGAAGTCTATGAAATATGCATAATGCACTTCCTGTTACCAATAAGTTCAACATGAGCACTAGGAACAACCCCATACAGCAAGATCTAGAGTAAAAAACGGGCTGGTTTTAACCTTGGTCTGACGTTCATGACTAGCCTTAGGTCAATGGGCTGTGAATTGAATTTTTGTGTTGTCTAATAAACTATCCCAAACATTTATGACTTCGTCTAACACTCCATTGTTGCATCAGATTAAATGATTCCTTAGAAGCTGTCCGCTGAATCCATGTCCTGACTTTGACCTGCCGAAGGTCAGTAACAAAGTTTTTCCGAACGGCGCGGCGCAACCGCGCCACGCATTTCGGAAATCATTCCCGAAAAACTTCCGGGGGGAGGGGTCAAATTAACCGTTTAACGCAAGCGCGTGTTAAATGCGGATGTAAAGAAATGGAAGCGTGTTGATCTGCGCCCATCCGCTGTGTGAGAGCGCATTGAGGGGTTTCGGTGAGGGTTGCAGGCAGATGTGCTTGGGAGGGGTTAGGGGTGGGGTGGGCTGGGTGTGGTATTCCACTGTCTTATGACAATTGAGATAAAGTATTGCTTGATGAATAAGGCTCTTTTGTTTAGAATGGGAGTGTTTCTGCGTTTGCATTTGTAGTGGTCTGCCCGTTTCAGCCTATCTAACATCGGACTATGTAGTGGCACTGACGCAAAATAGCCTTGGCTGATAGTCTGTTTCTAAACACGCGCTCAGGTGGGGGTCAAATTGAGCCCCCGAAGGTTTTTCAAAAATAGTTTCCGAACAGCGCTGCGCAACCGCGCCAAATTTTGCACAGCTGTAGACAGTTAAATAGTGGATCGCTCGGCGTCAAAAAATTAGGTATATCTTGCAAGGTCGCTGGCCTATGACAGGTCAAAGTCAGGCCGTGGTTTCAGCGAAGTCAATTTCTAGGGAATCGTTCAATTTGGTGCAACAACAGAGTGTTAAACGAAGCCATGCATCTCTGAGATGCTTTCTTAGGCAACTTGAATGTTGAATGAGCAAATTACGCTGACCTAAGGTCAGGTTTAAAGATCAGACCAACGTCCAAACCAACCTGCTTTATTACTCTAGGGCTTGCTGTATGAGATAGTTTCTGGTGCTCATTTTGCATATATTGATAGCAGGAACCGCATTATGCATCTTCCATGGACTTCTTAGAGGTGATAATAGGTCATTGGCCTGAAATGAACCAGATAAGCATTTATTTTTAGGAACATACCGCCTGGCGTAATATTTGTCGCTTATTCAAATGCAAAACCCAGAGCAGTCTTGTATGATTTTGGTCACCATGACCTTCAAAGGGTCAAACAAGGTCACTGACCTTAACTAAGCATGTGACCTTTTGCTTAGAAACAATTATGTAGGTTATGGGGGTACTCTGGAGACCAACCCGGGATTTTACCTTGCTTGACCTTATTTGACCCGAAGGTCATAATCTAGGAAGCTAAAACTCTGGCCTAAGTGAGTTCACGTACAGGTCAGTACACCCTGTAAATTTAGTGTCTCTAGCTCTCTTAGTTTCCGAGATCTCAGGGGGGTCAAATTGAACCCCACCCGAGCGAAAGGTATTTAGCAGGCCACCCGGACGCGTGTTAAGAGGTGTTCGAGAGAAAATCA